GGGCAAGGTTGAGTTTGCTTGCGTCGTGATCACACGTATATGCCCCGGATAGAACCGACTGATTAATCGGACAAACCGGGGACAAACGACGCGACGTATACACGTTACGTAAGGATCGAGATGATAATAGTGGGAGATTTGGAGTGGAAAGTGGGTTAAATGGATCGCACTTGTGGTCGTCGAAGCCGCGCACACCGCGATTAAATCCCCTTTGACAGGCGTCAAATTGCCCCGCGCACGTATCTACCGCACATCCTACTGCGAATCCTCGCGCGGATCTCCCTCTCTCTCTCTCTTCTAGGATCGAGAAGAATCGAAGAATGTTGTCAGGTACGAAAGACGCAGTCTTTCTCTATCGACGTTTCCTCGAAACCGACTCTCACTTGGCATCGAATCCCTTCACTGCACTGTTCCCAGCCTCGTCTTCGAACTTCGATCACAAGGTATACGTATACGTATATATATATATCCAGGCATGGACAGACATCACAGAACCGCGACACCTTCGTATACACGTATATGTACCGTTGTTACACACTGGACTTGGGCGGATCGGATCGTTGACCACGAGCCACACCGGAGGCAACACCAACGATTTCCATGGACTCGTGGTTCGCGCGAAATGCGTGGTTCACGAGTTGGCCGAGGGCGAAAATTCGGCGCGAGGACAGCGGCGTGACATCACGAGGACGGACGATCGGCGTGCGGAAACCCCGTGGAAACGTGGCGCGCCGGCTACGCTCCGTTAGTCCCGCTGCTCTTCTCACCTTAACGTGGCCACGCGTTAAGGAACGACAGACAGACAGCGTGGATGGAGAGTGTGTGCGTGTGTGTCTGTGTGTGTGTGAGAGAGAGAGAGAAAGAGAGAGAGAGAGAAAGAGAGGGAGAGACAGAGGAAGCGTAAGAAAGCGCGAACGGTGCTGCAGGTCGCGGTAGTGTAGCCGGTTTTCGTAGTAGATGGAACGTGTAGTGGCCGCGCGTCGGTAGTAGGTGGGTCCGCCAGGCTTAGCCGGTTGAGCCTTTCGGACTGCCTGCCGGCTTAAGTCTCTAAGTCGGTAAGCCGAGCGGATCTAGTGGTCTTGGCTGGTGCACTGGCTGCCTGCTAGCCTGTCTGCCTTCCTTGCTTGCCGGGCGGCTTGCCTGACTGTCTGACTGCGCCTCGCCCTGGCTCGCTTGCTCTTACTCCCCTCCAACTCGTACTCCTTCTCTCTTCAGCTCTCCCACTCCGCTCTCGTTATCTCCCTCGAAATGTCCGTCTCCCTCGCACCACTCGTCCTGATCTCTCCTGTCTTCGTGCCNTTTCATCCCTTTGGCTACCGGCTACCCGCCATCCTTCTTCCTCGTCCTGTCCTATCCCCCACTTTCGTCTCCTCGTTTTCGTCCCCTCTCGCTTCCTCCACGCCGTCGTTCTCCCTGTATTTCTCTCTCTCTCTCTCTCTCTCCCTCTCTCGCCTCGTTACACGATCTCTCACGCCTGTATCTGTCACCTCGTCCCCGACACCCCTCGATTGGCCGACCCTGGCCGTCTCTCTCTCTCTTTCTCTCTCTCTCTCTCTCTCTCTCTCTCTCTCTCGCTCTACCCCTACTACACGCTATCGCTCGACACTCTCCGTCCCGTTCCCTCGAAGCCGCGATCTCTCACGCCTGTTCCTCTCTTTTCCGTACCAGTCGTGTTCGAAACAGTCACCGGTTCGCCTATGTTCGGTATCGTGGACGCACCTCTCTTCATCTACCCCCACTCGCCCGACCGACGCCCCTCCAGCGGTGTCCACGTCGCCCCTCCTACGTGCACACTCCGATCTTGGCTCTCTCCCTCGATCGAGCACGCACACACCACGCACACCCACCCCCTTGTTCTTCCTTTTTCCTATTTCCCTCTTCTCCACGAGCCTCCACGGCCCGTACACTATCTTCTGATTATCATTTGTCTCTTTCCGCTGACGTTTGTCGCCTTGACGATCGTCATGCGCTGCTTTTTAATCCTTGCCGACATTCCATTCTTGATTTTCTTCGGCGAATATTTGCAAAAGTCGAGCGTGTGTACGATGTAATTTTAATTTTTTTGGTTTTCTTTTCTTTTCTTTTTTTTTCTTCGAAGATTTTTGATGGATAAAGCTTTGATTCGTCGCCATCTTGCAACGCGATGTCGAAGATATATGCATTACGTGGAAAAATCTTTTCCCGTGTTACCGAGATTCGAGTCGAGCGTATGCAGTTATCGCTAGTCTTATCTCTGTCGAAGCAAATATCTATCTTCATAGACTTAGACAGGCCTCTGTGCTGGGTGTTTCCGAGTGAAGAGGTGTGTCGTGTATTGGATACGAATTTGATTCGAACGATTCTTCGGATTGAGTTGAGTAAAATGAGAAGAATCGGAGAATTTTTAGAGAAGGTTTATTTAATGGATAATAGAAAGAGAATTTATAATTATTTTTTCATTAATATTTCTTCTTCAATCATTGTATTTTGCGTCGTACGTACGTAGCTGAGTATCTAAATTTGATAAATGGAAAAGAAAAAAAATTGGAAGCTTTCTTTAGTACAGATTGAACGATGATTATCTTTCAAATTCATTCGTATGATCAAAATCTTCACGTTTGCAATAGTCTAGAGTCTAATCAGATTAAAAAAAAATTCCAAGAATGAAATACATCGTTCAATTCGGCCATTTCAAAACGATATTTTATCTTATATATTCGTCTTATCATTTCGACGAGAACGTGTGACTATTTGGTTGTAAAAGTAACTTAAGCCTTTGATCAAATTAATTAATCAATTAATTATTATTTACATCTGTTCCAATAAATTAATTATTTAACAAGGATACTAATCGATATTATATATAGATAAAATAATTTGATGATCAAAACGAAAATCTATGAAATTTCGTATTCTTTATTAACAATAATATAGAGTAAAATTTTGAACCAATATTTTATTAAAACTTTCTAATTTTCACAAATGATATAACGAAATCTTATATATAAAATCAACCATACGAAAAATTTCCCTTAAGACTCGAGAAACAACAATAGTTGCACCCTTAACGCGATATATAGATTCAAGAAACAACCCTCTAAAGTTAAACCCTCAAAGCGATCCTCCATAAGTAACAGCCTAAGAATAAACCATGGAGCCTCGATACCCCGATCTCATCAAACATCCCCCCAAATCCCTGCAAAAAAAACAACGAGTCATCGGTGAGCGAACGGCGAGAGAAGAGAGTTGGATCGATGATGAAGGCACGAGAAAGGAAGGTAATCCGCCTCGGCGAAGATCGCGAAGGGCAACGAGGAAAGGAAAGATGAACGCGGCGAATGACAAAGCGGATGATTTGGCGGTCGAAAAAGGGAGAAAGTCTCCGCGACGAGGTTCGAAGTTGAGTTGCGAGGGCGAGGGGGAGAAGGAGAAGAAGAAGAAGGAGGAGGAGGAGGAGGAGGAGGAGGAGGAGGAGGAG